AATCAACTTTAATTTTTGCACCAGCTATTTATAAAATCTGCAACATTAGCTCAGCTTGGCACAGCTTCCTAAAGGAACATGATCATTGCCAACCTACACATACCTTTTCATTTTTTTATTATCAAATTTATTGAAATGGGAAAAATAATCTCGATTAGAGTCGGGAAATTTTGTTAATAAATTTTCGATTTATTGCACAGCCCTACCCCGCAGTACGACTTACAAGGCATTCATTCCTACTGGAGACCACTGCAAATATATTGATTAAACGAGTGTTCCACACCATAAATCATCCACCCAGGACTCAGATTGACTGCCACCATGATGATAAACCACAAACATCTCCTAAAAGTAATTTAGTGCATGCTCAAAACCATCATGGACTTCCCACCTAAAGACTTTGCCTAGAGCCTGAAATGAACACATTCTGGCTTCAGATTAACAAGCTGTGTTTAAATTAAAACAACGTTGGTGATGAAGCTACAACGGTGTTCTGCTGAGCTGTGGTGCCCTCATGGAGGGGGCCATCGACTCGGACACTGCTGCTAACCACTTAAACATTCTCCCTCTCCTGATAATAACATTTTACTTTCTTAAACACTGGATGTGCTACTACTAGTTTACCCGTTTAATTATAGATTCACTAGAATAAATACAATAAAGTTTATCTCTCACTAAATAGAATATTTACTAAGAAATCACAATGTAACCATAGAAACACTACTCGTGCGTGTGCGTGCGTGCGTGCGTGTGCTCCGTCTTCACAATCCCCAGAGAGTTGTGCCAGATGGCTGCTTATACTGAGCCAGGATCTTCTGGAGGTTTCCTCTCCACTGTCACTAAATGCTTGCTTAGTATGAGGATTGCTGTAAAGTCACTGATACTAGTCAGTGACTCGATGCAATTAGCTGGGTTCCTTATATAGGAGACCTTTTACTGATTGGCTTAAAGAACTGACCTGATTTGGTGCTATATACAGGTCCTTCTAAAAAAAATTGCATATCGTGATAATTTTCATTATTGTCTGTAATGTACTGGTAAACATTAGACTTCCATATATATTAGATTCATTACACACAACTGAAGTAGTTCAAGCCTTTTATTGTTCCTAATATTTATGATTTTGGCGTACAGCTCATGAAAACCCAAAACTCCTATCTCATAAAATGAGCATATAATGAAAAGGTTCTCTAAACGAGCTATTTAACTCATCTGAATCAATTAATTAACTCTAAACACCTGCAAAAGATTCCTGAGGCTTTTAAAAACTCCCAGCCTGGTTCATTAATTCAATTCAAGTTTATTTATAAAGCGCCAAATCACGACAAGAGTCGTCTCAAGGCACTTCATATAATAAACATTCCAATTCAGGTCAGTTCATTAAGCCGATCAGAAAAAAAGTTTCCTATATAAGGAACCCAGCAAATTACATCAAGTCACTGACTAGTGTCAGTGACTTTACAGCAATCCTCATACTAAGCAAGCATGCAGCGATAGTGGAGAGGAAAACTCCCTTTTAACAGGAAGAAACCTCCAGAGAATCCTGGCTCAGTATAAGCAGCCATCCTCCACGACTCACTGGGGATGGAGAACACACACACACACACACACACACACACACACACACACACACACACACACACACACACACACACACACACACACACACACATTACTCAAAACCGCAATCATGGGTAAGACTGCCGACCTGACTGCTGGCCATAAGGCCATCATTGACACCCTCAAGCAAGACACAGGAAGAAATTTCTGAACGAATAGGCTGTTCCCAGAGTGCTGTATCAAGGCACCTCAGTGGGAAGTCTGTGGGAAGGAACAAGTGTGGCAGAAAGTGCTGCACAACCAGAAGAGGTGACCGGACCCTGAGGAAGATTGTGGAGAAGGACCGATTCCAGACCTTGGGGGACCTGTGGAAGCAGTGGACTGAGTCTGGAGTAGAAACATCCAGAGCCACCGTGTACAGGCGTGTGCAGGAAATGGGCTACAGGTGCCGCATTCCCCAGGTCAAGCCACTTTTGAACCAGAAACAGCGACAGAAGCGCCTGACCTGGACTACAGAGAAGCAGCACTGGACTGGTGCTCAGTGGTCCAAAGTACTTTTTTTGGATGAAAGCAAATTTTGCACGTCATTCAGAAATCAAGGTGCCAGAGTCTGGAGGAAGACTGGGCAGAGGGAAATGCCAACATGCCTGAAGTCCAGTGTCAAGTACCCACAGTCAGTGATGGTCTGGGGCGCCATGCCAGCTGCTGGTGTTGGTCCACTGTGTTTCATCAAGGGCAGGGTCAATGCAGCTAGCTATCAGGAGATGTTGGAGCACTTCATGCTTCCATCTGCTGAAAAGCTTTATGGAGATGAAGATTTCATTTTTCAGCACGACCTGGCACCTGCTCTCAGTACCAACACCACTGGTAAATGGTTTACTGACCATGGTATTACTGTGCTCAACTGGCCTGCCAACTCTCCTGACCTGAACCCCGTAGAGAACCTGTGGGATGTTGTGAAGAGAAAGTTGAGAGACACAATACCCAACACTCTGGATGAGCTTAAGGCCGCTATCGAAGCATCCTGGGCCTCCATAACACCTCAGCAGTGCCACAGGCTGATCGCCTCCATGCCACGCCGCACTGAAGCAGTCATTTCTGCTAAAGGATTCCCGACCAAGTATTGAGTGCATAACTGAACATAATTATTTGCAGGTTGACTTTGTTTTTTATACTAAAAACACTTTTCTTTTATTGGTCGGATGAAATATGCTAATTTTTTGAGATGGGAATTTTGGGTTTTCATGAGCTGTACGCCACA